GCCAGCCTAGGGCACATACACTGGGACATACACTGGGGCTGGCAGGTTTAAATCCAGCACAGGCCTGCTTAACAACAATGACAACTACAACCAAAAAATAGACGGGTGTTGTGGTGGGCGCCTGTAGTCCCAGCTACTTGGGAGGCTGAGGCAAGAGAATCGCTTAAGCCCAAGAGTTTGAGGTTGCTGTGAGCTGTGACGCCAAGGCACTCTACCCAGGGCAATAGCTTGAGACTGTGTCTCCAAAAAAAAAATATATAAATATTATTATTCATTGACTAATTATCTCCCAAAAAATCTTAACAGTTTTACCACTCAAAAAGTAAATGAGGCAATTTTAAGAAGCTCAAAGAAATTTATTTATTATTTTATTTATTTATTTATTTTTTGAGACAGAGTCTTACCATGTCACCCTTGGTAGAGTGCTGTGGCATCATAGCGCACAGCAACCTCAAACTCCTGGGCTTAAGCAATTCTCTTGCCTCAGCTTCCCAAGTAGCTGGGACTACAGGTGTCCACCACAATGCCCAGTTATTTTTGTTGTTGTTGTTGTTATTGTTGCAGTTGTCATTGTTTAGCTGGCACACTAGCTTCAGTGCATGTAGCTGGCACCATAACCACTGTGCTATGGGTGCTGAGCCAGAAATTTATTTTGATCTTAATTCTTTTAACACTACTTCATTTCTTCAAACTATTTTACACCTTAATTACTAAGTAGCTCTTCATTTCCTACAACATTAATAGCTTAAGAACCCTATCCTAAAAGATGCATCATAACATTCTTCATGGCTTTATTGATATCTTCACTTTTGATTTCTGATTCCAAACATTGATTTGAAAGGAAAAGGTGAAGAATCTCAAATACAACGTTTTTTTTTTTGAGACAGAGTTTTTGTCACCCTAGGTAGAGTGCTGTGGCATCATCATAGCTCACAGCAACCTCAAACTCTTGGACTCTAGTGATCTTCCCACTTCAGCCTTCCAAGTAACTGAGACTACAGACACCACCAAAGTGCCTTGCTTGTTTTTCTATTTTTAGTAGAGATAGGGTCTCTCTCTTGCTCAGGTTGGTCTTGAACTCCTGAGCTCAAGCAATCCACCTGTCTCAATCTCCCAAAGTGCAATGATTACAGTGCCACCATGCTTGATTCACAAATACAATTTTATATTCATAATATTTTACAAAGTTCAAAAATCAAGACTGTGGGATGGCGCCTGTGGCTCAAGGAGCAGGGTGCCAGCCCCATATACCAGAGGTGTATAGCCCAGCCCTAGCCAAAAACTGCAAAAAAAAAAAAAAAATCAAGACTGTGGAAAAATGTTTTCAAGTTGGAACAGAGATATAAGGTTATAAATTTACTATTACTATAAAAGGAAAATAGTGACCACTTTGAAACTGACAACTGCTGGAAACAGAACAGCAAAGTTAGACAAGTAGGGAATAAAAGACACACACAGATGGGGAATAGAAAGTGAGAAGCAGAAACATGTTCCATCACATGGCAAAAGTGAAAGGTACTGTAAAGGTGGAAAAGGTAAAAGGAATAATAACTTGACTATCCATAACACCTTCCAGAAAACAAACAGAACCACAAAAATGGTGCCAAAATGTACATTAGTACCTGTACGTTGCCAGAAAGTTCAAAAATTAAAATAAGTAACTAGGGGAAATCATCATTTGTAAAAGGACAGAGAAGGGGTTGTAGAGGACACAAATTACATTGCAATCCCACTCCTTTTCATATAAAAAAGAGCTTCCTTTCCTGGCCAGTCATCAGATTTTCAGAATATATATGTGTGTATATATATACATATATATATATACACACACACACACACAAAGAGAATATGACACCTTGGCTTTCCAAAATGAAAACAGCAGATTAAAGGCACACATCATATTGGTAAAAATAATTATACAACCAGTAATTTAGAGACTTAATATAGGAAAATATCACAGAACATTAGTTTATATGAAGACATAAAAATGTATGCATGTGTACATTTTAGGTCACTACCATAAAAGGGTCTGTAATACCTTACAGACCTTCAGTAGCAAGACTACAGTCTTACCTCTAGAGGGCGAACTTGGTCTTCTGGAAAAACTCCAGATAAGAGAAGTTACTTTCAGACATCACAAAAAAAAAAAGGAGCTAAATTTAAGATGTCACAATGGCAGAGGTTCCCAACATTTTTTGGTTAACAATGCCCTTAAGGCTCAGCGGGTATTTCAGTGATTAGGGCGCTGGCCACATGCACTGGGGCTAATGTGTTCGAACTGGCCAGGGCCTGCTAAAACAGCAATGACAACAACAACAACAACAACAAAAATCACTGGGCATTGTGGTGGGCTTGGGAGGCTGAGACAAGAGAATGGCGTAAGCCCAGGAGTTTGAGGTTGCGGTGAGCTGTGACATTACAGCACTCTACTGAGGGCCACATAGTGAGACTCTGTCTCAAAAACAAAAGAGCCCTTAATATCTCAGTAATTTTTTCATGGCAACCTCTAAACCAAAAAAAATACCAAATGGTTCTGTTTAATAAGTAGCTATATGTGAACAATTTAATAAAGATTTACATCCTAACAGTAACTACTTAATGTTGGAACTATGTACTATTTCTTTTTTTTTTTTTTTTTTTTTTGAGA